TTATTACTCTGAGGCTCTGCATACAGTAGACAAAATATTAAAAATAGCAATAATCATTTATTATTAAAAAGAGAAATTATTTTACATCTAACAAGAGAATAAAATATATTAATTAGTTCCAATTCTTATTTCTTAATTCATGCATTAATTTTTTCTATTCTTTTTATTTTTAAAATAAATAATTCCAATTTTTTATTTCTAATATTTAATAATTATTCCTATTTCTATTTCCTATTTTGTTTATTGTGCGCAGGATCTGACTTTCATTTCTCACACATACGCAAATAGTGAGTTCTATGTGTGGTGATTACTAAACGAATATGGCGGCCCCCCCTCCCCCGCCGCAAACGTGCTCCCCCGGTATAGCTTGTGCTCCGTCCCTCTATTCCTTAGTCCGTGGTCCAAAGCGAACGCAGCCCGAGTAGTTACTATTTGCTATAAACATAACCAAATATAATAACAATTTTTAAGATTATTAGCACTAGCTGACAAAGTTTGACAAGTTTTTATAACGTAATACTAACACTAAAGATAACGTGAGTGCTTAGTTATTAGGAGAAATGTAGATAATTGAAGTGATAAATTTATTTGATTCTTGATCAGATGAATATATGTTTTGTTTTAGGTCATGGGGAGAGCATGCTGTATTTTAGGATGTCCTTCAGGAGGAGATGCACCATCTCATCACATTCCAAAAAATCCAGCTCTCTTTCAAAAATGGAAAAGTGTGATTTATTCCGAGAAAATGAGAAATATGACTGATGAACAGATAGGCAAGTGTGCTGTATGCTATCGACATTTTACTGACGAAGATTATTTAATAACCTTTAGAGTGAGAAAATTGAGACGTGGTGTCACGCCTTCTTTAAATCTGCCAAATATACCTGCTATTTATAATGAACCAAATACAGTTAATACAGAAACTGCAGAAATATCAAATGCAAGCCTAAATACATGTATTAAAGAAGAAACAACATCAGAAATCTCAGAGACAGGAAGTTTCATTACGGAAATGGAAGTATCAAAAACAGCTGACATCGCATTATTTGAGGATCTTCCAGACGAAACAGAACCCTGCTTGAAACAATTACAACTGAATAATCAGAACAAACATATGGAACAAACCAGTTTAGCTAAAGACTTGTTCAAATTATATTGTATGAAAATAATGTGGAGAAAGAGACAAGCAAAATTTATGGAATGGCGTCAATATAAAAAACAAGCAGAGCAATATGAAAAAACATCTACAATACAAAAGCTATTGTCTTTTTTGACATCTGATGAAATAGCATCAATCAAAACCAAGATAATAAAATCAAAGTACTCACCAAAGGTATATGTAAAAGAATATCATGAGATAGCTAAACGGAAAGCTCTTGAACAGTTATAAAATCTAATTGATGGAATAAGATTTGTTTCATATAATTAGTTATTGTAAAGAAATTTGATGATTGTTGAATATAGACAAGTACATTATAATTTAAGAAATCTTATCACAAATATTACAAGAACAATGATGACATGACAATGATGTAAGTATATTTTTACATTACATAATTATATCAATTATTTTCCAATAAAAAGTCAAATATAGATTGTATATTAAAACTTGTTTCAATCTGCAGCAATATATTGTTCAATTTTTATTTTTTTGTAATTAGCAATAATATACTAATATACTATTATACTATTAAATTTTTTCTCTATACAGGTGGGAATTTTTAATGGAAACATGGGATGCAAATTATTCAAGCATTGTGCTGATACAACACGTTGCTGTATTTTTAAAAACGAATACATGAAATTACATTTATAATTACGAGGGCTGTATGATAAGTACCTGTGTTTAACGACAGAAAGCATCATTGACTCAAAGTCTGTATACCATCGTTTAACGTCATCTTCTAAACGACGCCAGTCAAAATTTCAAACAGATTTATCGAGTAGTTTTGTTTTGACAACTGTTGAAAGTGGACAAGGTTATATTTGTTTGCAACCATGGAAAAAGAGCAATATCGGTCAGTGATTTGATTTTTTTTTTTGGATGGGAAGACGTGTGAAGAAATCAAAGTGAAGTTGCATGTCATTTATAAATTTTTTAGGATTCGCGAGGCATCATTTTCACCGACTATTTGGAGAAGGAAAGGACAATCACGGGGCAATACTATGCCGATTTATTGGGCCGATTCGACGCTGAATTGAAAAGAAAACGGCCTCATTTGGCGAAAAAAAAATTCTCTTTCATCATGACAACGCACCAGCTCATTCGTCCGCAATCGCCACTGCAAAACTGGTCGAATTATGCTACGAATTGTTGTCTCATCCACCCTATTCTCCAGATTTGGCTCCCTGCAATTTCTATTTATTTCCAAACATGAAAAAATGGCTTGGTGGAAAGCGGTTCACGTCAAACGAGGAAATCATCGCCGAAACAGAGGTCTATTTTGCAGAGTTCGACAAATCATATTTTTTGGATGGTATAAAAATGTTGGAATATCGCTGGATTAAGTGTATCGAGCTGAAAGAAAACTATGTTGAAAAGTAAGTTAAAAAAATTTTTTTTAAATGCGTTTTTTTTTCTAACACGGGTACTTATCATACAGCCCTCGTATATATAATTGATAGAAGAATTGTTCTCTGAATAGATCTTTGAACATTATCTTATCACTAGTGACATCGCAGAGAGTGTAACGTATCTTTTCTGAACACATAATCTTGACGAGGATTACCCTGTTTAGCACTTTATTCGCCGTTGACAAATTTTTAACTACGCCTAAATTTCTACTCTGACATAATCCGATGATCCGTGTTTGAAAAACACGCCGATAAATAATTATTTTATCCGCATGTAATCGGTTCCCGGTGGAAGAGAAGAAAGGGTAAAGCAGATTGAATTAATAGAAATCAGAAAAAATACATAGGCAGAGACAAACTTTTCAGAATCGGTTGCTCTGTGTGATTCTTGAACAAAACACACATTCAAAAAAGTCACAAATTACGTTAGTCATGTTGAAAAATATCCTCATTAAAGAGTCATTAACATTTACATTAATCTAAACATCTTATCAATTTATTTTGAAGGTGCTGAATGTACACACAATACTTTACTCTTCTTCTACGTCCACCAATTAAGAAATTGTAATTCAAAATGTGCTCGATTCTACGACCGATCTCAAAGAGTTGTGTTTATCGTTCGTTAATTAGGGAATAATTTTCTTTTAGCTGTATAATTATGATTGGCTACAGGATATTAACTGGCATATCATTGTCCGATCTTAATGTACTTTCAATTTTTTCCTCATTATTTTCTTCATAGAATCCAATAATTTGAGAAACGCTAATTGTAAATAAAAAATATTGGTTCCGTAAAAAATGATTTAAGCAAGGCCTTAGTTTTTTTTAAAATATCTTATCGAAAGTCGTTGCTCTCTAATAATCTGATTTTATTTCATCGCGTTATTATACATAAATAATGAGAAAAATGAAAGTACATTGAAAAAGAAATTTTTTTTCAAATCGTAGCGTGTTTCGTCAAATATGTAAAGAGTCTTCATTTCACAGCGCGATATGAGAAGATAATGTGGGTCAGACAAGAAATGTACTATGACAGAAAAACAGTCATTCTTAAGAATTTGCGAGTGAAAATCTATCGCGATTTGCATAAAATTTATTTAAAGAGAAAGTGCAAGAGTGAACGGAACACTATAATTGTATGTAATGGTGCATTTTTTAGGCCTTGTAAGATATTTTGTCCGACAAAATATCTTTGTGGTCTCTAAAAAAAATATATAATTGTAATTCTATAAGTAAAATTGAATGCATTAATAATAGCTCATGCATTCACAAGAATATTTTACGATATATAACTCGTATCGATCTTGTTTTTGCAAGCATGAAGCAGTTGAAATATACAATTAATAATACAAACAAAAAAATATGTTTGTTTTTTAAATATTACAAAGAAATTTGATCATTAAATGAAGTACATTACGCTATCAATGCACTTGATTTTACAATGTTATCACAATTATGTACATATTTAATTAAGGAACAAATAATTGTACTTGCTCGCCAACTGGAGTGTTGCAATTTTTATCGGATACAAATTTTGCTTTAGACTGCTTCGACACGTCGAAGAATCGATGAATACCGAAAATCAGCATACAGTTACATGCGCTATTAAAAACGAAATGTCAATGTTTACGTCGCGCGTTTTAGTTGCAAAAATCACCAATCGAAAAGAACATTAACTGTAATGTCAACAGAAAATAATACATTCCGGCGATTGCTTATCACTTTTATCAACATTCTTGATGGAAACTTGCATTAACTACGCACTTTTAATGGATAAAATACAAAGTTGATCGCGGAACGTTCGCATTTCGAGCCGACGCATGTACACATAGAACCATTAACACACTTCCGGTAAGATTCTTTTTAATTAAATGTGTAGCGTTTAGATATTTGCGCATAATGACCGTTGATTTAAAAATTCAGAGTTATTTAAATAGTATATTATTTTGTTAAAACTTGATTAATAAGTCTGAAGTAAAAGTTCTTAAACTGAAAGTACTGGTTATTGGTGTCTAAAAGCCAATGCCCACGATAACAGAAATCGATCCCGACTCGGGATTCCCGAGATTTCAGCCAGAGAGAGAGATAACCAATCAACTTGCATTTTTTTATGAAAAATGGGAATTTTATTGGCTGTATGTTTCTCGGGCCAAGATCTCAGACCAATTGCTGGCATCGTAGACATTGGCCTTAATGGAATATTATACATAGTAATAGTGGGTGTTTACGATAATTCAAGTTCGAGTTAGTTTCACTAGGGCCGAAAAATGAGATAGACATAACCATCTAGAATCTTTATAATTCATGACAACTCGACGCTGTCTTGTATTGCTCGAGTTAAATTCATTGAATTTATTGAGTTTTATTTGAAGTCAAAATTTTTACTTGTAATGAAAAATGTCATTTATTATTATTATTAATTATATTATTATTAATTTATTAAAGAGGTATACCAACATACATACCAACATTATTTGTTTCTTTCATAGACTGATTTGCAGTTGACATTTTTCTATTACAATAAAATTTGCTCAATAAACTCAACAAATTCAATGAATTTAACTCAAGCAATACAAGACAGCGTCGAGCTGTCATGAATCATAAAGGTTCTAGATGGTTATGTCTATCTCATTTTTCGGTCCTAGATAAACTAACTCGAACTTGAATTATCGTAACAGTCGTCAGAGGCTTAGTTTACGCCGATTATTTAGTACGCGTACCAAGTACTAAATCAGCTTTTTTGATTGGTGTACATTTTACACTAAACGATTTATACCTATCGGAGAAGCAGATTTAGTATTCGATACGCGTACTAAACAATCGGTGTAAACCAGTGCTCGGAATTATAGCGTTTTCGAATAAACGGGGTTTGAACGATCTAGGGTTGATCAATCACTATTTTACTATAAATGCAAGTTTTTCATTGGTGGAGAGGTTGCAATGACGTCATTAACCAATCTTGGGTCGTTCAAATCCTGTATAATCGAAAACGCTATTATATTTCAGTGGGTTTTGGTGATGAGTTTCCATTCTGTGTGTGGCAGATACCCGGGCGGGAGCAGTGAGGACTGTTATTGAAATTTACCGATTTATTAAAAAATCAAACAGAATTAGGGTGTCGTCACATACAGCTCGTAATCCGTAATCCGCACCAGAAGTCCGCAAAAGTTACTAGGTATTTCGTCCGTAACGTTACGTGTGTTTTTGGGTGTTTACGATAATTCAAGTTCGAGTTAGTTTCACTAGGACCGAAAAAATGAGATAGACATAACCATCTAGAATCTTTATGATTTATGACAACTCAACGCTGTCTTGTATTGCTTGAGTTAAATTAATTGAAATTTGTTGTAGTTTATAGTAGCAAATTTTATTGTAATAAAAATGTTAACTGCAATCAGTCTATGAAAGAACAAATAATGTTGGTATGTATGTTGG